TTTCTGCATCCTTCTAAACAGATCTAATATCATTTTACCTTCAGGGTCCCTTTGACATTTGGGAGCACTACCCATAATCTTAAAGAAAATTCACCTGGAGTTGTAAGACCACCAGTCATAACCTTTCACTCTTCTACAGCTCCTGAGGTAAATCTATAGCCACACCTGCCTGCCATGTAAACATGATAGTGAAAGTAAAATGAGTAACACCACACTGTAGAAAGAGCCATTGCTGGTATGATGGACAAATGGTAACACTGGCGTTTCTCTTAGAAGAGTTTACTCTGTCGGAAAAGGTACCTATAGCTCGTATGCTTACAATACTACAGCTTATAATTATTGAATAAACTGATTTGCATTTTGCTCGTGTTGGAACACTTTCCAGTCTCACTAAAGTCCAAGGAATCATCCATCAACCACAAATATTGCCTTCTAAGTCTGTACCCTAACCTTTAAACACTTGTCTTTTCATGTGGGTATGATCCATTTGCCCAGATCACAGTGGAATTCCAAATTAATGAAACTTTGCAGTTATTTATGTCCTTATAGGGAGTTTGACCCTTCCTGTCTCTTTAGATCTGACGCTTTCAAATGAAGGGGATACAGAAAAAGAAGAGGTCTGAAAAAAATACTTCCTTATTGAACTAAAATGTATTTAGTTCTTTCAGAGTTTGGCTATCCCATAAACGGAACTACTATGAACAAATTTGTATTATTTCTTTATATGAAATAAGTATAAGTTCTTTATTTTTGAGCAAAGGGAAATAGAGCTAGTATTAGAGAAAATTCTGCTGCACACTAAGTTAGCTATACTTTTTTTTTTTTCCATTACTGACACAGTATTAAAACATGGCTGGTGAATTAAACATAATAACAGAAAGCATCAGCTTACCTAACTTATTTTAAAAAAAAAAAAAAAATATCCACTTGTGACACTGAAATAATTCATTAATAGAGATAAAATGAAGTTTCCGATACAAAAAAACACCCAAGCCCTTTGTAAATCTGCAATATATTTATGTACATCCATTATTATGTAGTTATACTAAGGATGAACATTACATTTGGCCTTTAGGAATTTTATTTAAATAATGCCTTATCTTTTGAGGATGTCTCTAGGACATTAAAAAAATAAATGGGCTGTTTCATGAGAGAAGTAGAATGGCACCAAAGTAATAACTACACACTAGGAATTAGCAACATTATCTGTTTAATCCACACCATACTTGGTTAAGATCAGAACACAAATACTTAGGAACTTAGAGATTTACTGCGGTTTTACGTATCGCAGCACACGAGATCAAGACAATCTACTCTCCTTTTCCAAATCACACTTCAAATATTAACAGGGTGCTTGTACAAACCGGCCACTGTTCATTCATATAAAGCCACAGCTGCATAATTCAGC